CATCATCAGATCTCACCTGAACATCATCATCACATTTGTCTCAACTTAATGTGTTGCTTCAAATAATCCTTCTGCATACAGTATGTGACACTGTGAGTGTTGCACGGCCAGATACGGCTCAGCTGACTCAGATAAGGAGATATATGATACATTATGATGTGATATGCCGCGGACTGTACTTAATGTTACTCTGATCCGGTTACTTATGTTGTGGCAGATATTTAAGTAAGCTTTCTTAACTCTAATGTTCTAATAGTCAGATTGCTCTGAAGATGGGAGGTGATATTCTATTAATGTTCACGTTCACACAGTCGCTGATTTTTGCCGGCCGTCTTTCCTGCAACGGCAGATTTTCTGTATTTCCTTTCTCCTGTAATATGACTTGATCTCTTTAAACTCCGCACACTGAGCTCTGATTGGTCAGCAGGCAGTGCTTTCACTGAGTTGAGCTCTTAGCCTGCAACCTAACCTGCTCCGGGGCAGGTTAGCCGCTCAGCATCAGTTACCATGGAGATCTAGCCTGCTAAAAAGAGAACCAGCTTCGTAGGACCGGAAACCCAGAGTTTACCTGAAGTTAGCCGCTAAGAGAACATCCTGCTTCGTAGTATACCCCCCAGGTCTCACCTGAACATCATCATCATCATCATCATCATCATCATCAGACCTCACCTCCACAGAACAATGATATTCATATATCTGATGTACCTGTGTGAGTTCTCAGGTGCTTCTTCAGCTGAGCCGTGTCCATGAAGGTGTGATGGCACTGAGCGCACTCTGGTAGAGACTTGCCTGTAACGAAAGGGTTAGGGTCACCCTAGAGGAATGAGCTTCTACAGCATAACGATGTGCTGATGGTGCTCACCTGTGTGAACTCTGTGGTGACTCTTCAGCTGACGCTTCTGAGTGAAAGTCTTCCCACATTGATCACATCCGAACGGCTTCTCTCCTGAGAGACAGCATTCACAGTGAGAAGAGAAAAGCACAGAGACGCTGCGACAAACTGAAGGACGACATCTTTATGGCGTACCGTTTAACGAGTATAGAAATGATAATTACACTTTTGAAAATGCCGTTTACTACGGAACATATTCTGTATTCGAGCCACATGTTTAAAAAATGACGATATCTGACCAAAAGTATTATAAAAATGTAGTTACTGAGGAAAAAGTCAGAATTCTAAGATCAAATAAAAAATAACTACATTTTTTTTGTTCACACGTGGCCCTAATCCCCTTCCGTAGTTTTCTAAGAAGATGATTGAATATCTTTTACTAAATTAAACATTAAGCTAATCATGAGAAAAGAATGAAAGAACATGATGTGGATGCAGAGACCTTGGTGTCTTTAAACAGAATACCCCCAGAGCTAGATGTTATATATATATATATATATAGATATATATATATATATACACACACACAGTATATATAAACATCTAGCACAAAGATATATATATATATATTGATGCATGTAGGATCCCCAAGAGATATACTGAAACCTTGGTGCAGGTGCTCCTGAACTAGATATATACAGTATATAGTGTATATTTATAAAACGGACAAGTCAAATAAAGCAATCTGATTGGTTCTTAGCCGTGATATACTGATTGTATACCACGGGTAGAATTGTAAGTTACTTTTCACAACAAGTCAGTATCCCTCTGCGTCTGAGAAAAACAGTATACAGTTGGGCTGAAAAGCAAACTGCCTGCAGTTTGCTTTTCATACTGGAACAAGAAAGCAGCGGAGAAGTAACGGGGCAGAAGCCCTCCTTTTTGACGCAGCGGTCCAGACATAGACATCAAACGGCAAAACATATTCAGTGTGCAGTTCCTTTGGCATTAGGGCAGGGATATCTAGATACTCTCCAAGGTTTAACATAATGAATTGTGCTACTTTTAAAGCAAGCAACGATGTTTTCAAATCTGTAATCAAAGAGGTCCGCAAAAACGCTATCGACCAATCAGATTGCTTGATTTGACTTGTCAGTTTTATAAATATATTTAAATTTCTTCAGTTACGAAACAAACTTACAAAGCATAAGATGGAAACATTTAAGATTAACTTCGACCTCCGGGGGGGTCTTACATATGGAGGAGTGGATTGAGCAGTGCCTATCTCCAGAAAGCACCTAAACTACGACATGCAGAGCTACGTGAAGAGCAGGTAGACCAACTGGAAAAGTAGCACCATTCAAAAGCTTTCTGATGCGGGTCTTGAAACAAAGCAGAGACATGATGACCGTTAGTGGCCACAGGTGCGAAAGCTCTCTCCAGAGCTACTGGAAGCCCAATCTCTGGGACCGGAGAAAGTGGAGCAATATTCTCGCCACGCCAAGCAGCAGCCTCGAACAACCTCAACCTATACAAGTGACCACGTAAGCCATGCTACTGATGCTGGACAGGTTTTCAGTGGATGC